ATGACAGCTTAAAGTCCTGTATCAATAATGACTAGCGTGGCAAGTATTTCGCGCCGTTGGCTCTGAGGAAACCGAAATTGTTTTGATCTTCACCTTAGACTTTTCGCGCGTTAGCCTTTTCATCGCAGCATTCCTTCAAATATATAAGCTTAAGATTAGATACTTGGTCGAACTCTACAAGGACAGCTTGAATGTTTAATGAGTTCAGTATGTACTCAAGTTTACCAGATTTAAGCTTACAGCAATTCGACGAAGATGGTAAGGTGACGAACTTGAAAATGTATTTTTCGATAAAATCCAAATACAGAGTTCATACACGTTCAAAACGTGTACATGTGGCTCGAGACTAACGCTTTTGAGCGGGAAATGCTTTATTGTTATCAATTATTCGCTTGGCTTTAATTTGTGTGACATTGACTGTACAAATATTTCGTACGCCGTACGAAAGCAAAACTTTGTTTCAATATTAAGACTATTGGAAATTGAATTGTTAAAATTTTAATTGCTCTGACAGTCAGTGAAAATCAATGATAAGTGAACGAATTTAATCTTCTATAGATGGGAGAAATCTTCTTTTAATGGACATAAAATCCATGCTACAATTACTAGCAAGATTAAAACATATTAAAATTGATAGTATTTTTATTTCTTGTATCATTTCTATTTACCCTGCATTTCCATGGTTACTGTTCTTGATCATTGATTTATGAATATTTGGTTAATCATTTGTAACCAACCAGAATAGTCTTTCATTCGCTTTGCCAATCATCCAAAAACTTATGAATTTTTGTATTCAACTTGTTTTCTCTAAAATATCCCTTCAAGCAGACATGAAAGTGATGTGCGATGCATTCTCTGATGTACATGTTTACAATTGATATTAGAATTCAGATGCATGTTTTGCCTTCTTACACTGCAGCTACATTGTGTACTTAAATAAAGTGTTCGTTGTCTTGTTTTCTTGTGTTTCTCCTTGATCTTCCACATAAAAAAAATATCGCATATGAACAGTTAATTTTCAAGCCAGTCTACTGGCTAATGTGTACAGTACTATTTCTCTTGGTGTCGTTTTGTGTACAGTATACCCCCCTTAATTATCAGTTCTAAGTCCCCAGACTAAACCAATAAGGGAACAAAATCCAGTGCTGGGCTGAATTTATTCGACTAGAGCTGCCATTTCTCTGGTTAGAGACATCATGGCACAGAATCATAGCCCACCATTAATCTTTTGTCAATCTGTTWCCAGAACAAGTTCATGGACTTGGGTTTTTAATTGTTATAATTATTATTATTCATTTTCGTGTCCACCTAAAATGGCGCTTCTGCTCRCAAGGTACWACGGTTGGTTATGATTCTTTAATATATGTGTAATCAAGCATATTTGATATTAACTTTAGGTATACCTTATGGTCAAGCAATAGAATGGAAAACACCAAGACTACAGTCTATTAACACACCACCCAGAAGAGGATCTGATGGCTTGGTTAGTAGAAACCTCATGCAAGATCAGTTATTCAGTGAGCCATCATCACCCAAGTTTTCTGCAGGTAAAATAGTTATAATAAACATTTAATGAAGTGTCTACATAACGGGCTAAGCGGGTAGATATGTTCACAAAAGAACAAATTCCAAATTTATACGTAGTTTGTTTAATCAACCATGAAATTCAAAATTGACTGAACTTCTCAAAATTACTGAACAGAAATTAATGGATGTCCACAGCTTAGGTTTGGGGTTAGGGATAGGTTTGGGTTTGGTTTAGCAATGAAAATATTATTTTAAATTTAGTTTTGAATGCCGGGCACATTACTATTTGAAAACAATAGAAAACTTCTGGGCATATAGACGTAACTTAACTAGTTTGAAAACACAGACTGAAATACTTGTGTTATCAGGGTTGGTTACTCAAGTAGAAGCTTAACATGGATAGCAAATTATGTGGATTAAGTTTAATGTTTTTATTGCAAACTTTAGGTGAGCCATCTTATCACACAAAAACGTATTCCAANCTTGATCATTGATTTATGAATATTTGGTTAATCATTTGTAACCAACCAGAATAGTCTTTCATTCGCTTTGCCAATCATCCAAAAACTTATGAATTTTTGTATTCAACTTGTTTTCTCTAAAATATCCCTTCAAGCAGACATGAAAGTGATGTGCGATGCAATTCTCTGATGTACATGTTTACAATTGATATTAGAATTCAGATGCATGTTTTGCCTTCTTACACTGCAGCTACATTGTGTACTTAAATAAAGTGTTCGTTGTCTTGCTTTCTTGTGTTTCTCCTTGATCTTCCACATAAAAAAATATCGCATATGAACAGTTAATTTTCAAGCCAGTCTACTGGCTAATGTGTACAGTACTATTTCTCTTGGCGTCGTTTTGTGTACAGTATACCCCCCTTAATTATCAGTTCTAAGTCCCCAGACTAAACCAATAAGGGAACAAAATCCAGTGCTGGGCTGAATTTATTTGACTAGAGCTGCCATTTCTCTGGTCAGAGACATCATGGCACAGAATCATAGCCCACCATTAATCTTTTGTCAATCTGTTWCCAGAACAAGTTCATGGACTTGGGTTTTTAATTGTTATAATTATTATTATTCATTTTCGTGTCCACCTAAAATGGCGCTTCTGCTCRCAAGGTACWACGGTTGGTTATGATTCTTTAATATATGTGTAATCAAGCATATTTGATATTAACTTTAGGTATACCTTATGGTCAAGCAATAGAATGGAAAACACCAAGACTACAGTCTATTAACACACCACCCAGAAGAGGATCTGATGGCTTGGTTAGTAGAAACCTCATGCAAGATCAGTTATTCAGTGAGCCATCATCACCCAAGTTTTCTGCAGGTAAAATAGTTATAATAAACATTTAATGAAGTGTCTACATAACGGGCTAAGCGGGTAGATATGTTCACAAAAGAACAAATTCCAAATTTATACGTAGTTTGTTTAATCAACCATGAAATTCAAAATTGACTGAACTTCTCAAAATTACTGAACAGAAATTAATGGATGTCCACAGCTTAGGTTTGGGGTTAGGGATAGGTTTGGGTTTGGTTTAGCAATGAAAATATTATTTTAAATTTAGTTTTGAATGCCGGGCACATTACTATTTGAAAACAATAGAAAACTTCTGGGCATATAGACGTAACTTAACTAGTTTGAAAACACAGACTGAAATACTTGTGTTATCAGGGTTGGTTACTCAAGTAGAAGCTTAACATGGATAGCAAATTATGTGGATTAAGTTTAATGTTTTTATTGCAAACTTTAGGTGAGCCATCTTATCACACAAAAACGTATTCCAAGCTAAAGGCAGAACGAAAAGCATCCAAGTTATCCAAAGAGAGATACCAAGAAAACAGTAATAGTGCAACTAGTCTCTCAATACAACCACAGCATGTAATTGAAGATAGCCCTTTGAGGAAATGGTCGTCWTATTCAGGACTTTCTAATGATATCATTGATGGACTAAAGWSTGACAGAAGTGCAACATCCAATAGCTACCATGCGTCAATTGAGAACCTGGTAATATTCTATCCAAGAGTCTTATAATCATCAGAT